TGAATGCCGCTCTACAGCACACATGACTGGGAGCTGTAGTTCCACTTCTCATTCACCTCAACAACAGTAGCCCAGAGTTCCGAAACAGGATGGAACAATCTATGACCCCCTCCTGCTAAGTCCTTAGATAAAATTAGTCTAATGTCAGACACTTAGCCAAAGAACTAAAAGCCTTGTTTGCCCCTGACTGGCACTTTTACTTCCCCAACAGCTGAAGCCAGTGGGGGGGAGGGGGGCTGGTTGCCCATGGCCACATGGCTGATATAATATTAAAGCACTGAACAAGTGTTACTCCAGCGCTGACTTGCTCCTAAGGGACACACTAGACGAAGGAATAAAGTGACCAGACTCACCGCTCTCCGTCTCTAACTTCTGCCTCCTGCTCTTCACTCTGACGCAGCTCCTACAGTCTACAGCAGCAGCGCCGGAAACTGCTCGACCCACCTCACTCAACTCCCGCCCCCAACTGCCAATCTCTGCCGTGCCCCGCCCCCTCCTGTCAAGCTACGCCCAACCCTGTTATGCCCCCCTGCAAGCGTCAACCTATCGCCAGTTCTCTGCCCTGTTCCGCGCAGAATACCATGCTAGTCGTCCCATCTAAAACCAATCATATCTTTCCTCTAACCAGATCACCTTATATATTATTAATGAGTAGGCAACGCTCTTCCCACCCCTTTTACGCCGTGCACCCTCCCACTATTTTCATTATTCATGAGGTAGTTCGGGGTACTGCCCACTTGTTGGTGTCAGGGACGTTCCTTGCGGCTGGGCTGTTCCATCCAGCTAGTCTTCCCCCTCGAGCCTGACCGAACAGGCACATTAGTAGCGGGGGAGGGAAGGTGCAGAATGGAACAGCCTGCTGGAAGTCAGGAGGATTCCTGGCAGCGTGACGTAAGATGTTGGTCACGTCAGTATGTAAACGGCAATGACGTAGGCAAGGAGAACGCGTTGGCTTCCAAGTTTTTGTACGTAATTAGTGGAGACAGACTCTTATTGCTGTCCTGTAAGAATGCAAGTTGCTTGGCTGTAATGCAATACTACGTTTCAATGCCTTGAGACAGTGGCCAGTGACAGTAAGTTACACATATGAGAATGTGATCCTTTTCTTAGATTTTCCTGATTTGCATAGTGGTAAGGGTCAGAAAGCACTGAAACCTGTGAGGAGACAAAAGAAAAGCCAAGCAACTAGCACGAAGGACACCAGCAATGGCTTCCCCTGTATTTCTTTCATTACAGGTTTCCTTTAAGAAATGAAAATTAAATTAAAGGAGAACTATGAGGTGAGTGCTTTTCACTCACCTCATAGTTCTAGCCGACCTGTGACAATGAGACGGTCACAGGTCGGCTCAGTAGATCGGGAGGTGAGCGAACACATACCGGCGTTCGCTCACCTCTCGATCCTGTCACGGCTCTCTGCCGTGACAGGGAGGGGCTGGATTCCCCCCTCCCCGCTCTGATCCGCCAGCGCTGACTCTAGATAGGCAGAGCTAGCTGTCAGTCACGCAGCTGGGCGGATCCCGGCATAATTGTCGGGATCCGCTTCAGCTGCGGCGTCTCAGCATACCAGGAGCAGCGGCTCGCGGTATACTGCGGCGTCTCAGTATACCGTGAGCTACAGCTCGCGGTATATTGAGGCTAGGGTGACGGGAGGACGCTAGTTTGTGTCCTCCCGTTACCAAAAAGCCCCATTCACATTAAGCGATTCGCAAATCGCGCGTTTGTCGCGCAATTTGCATTTTGCGCGATATCGCGCGTATGCTTGCATTGAGCAAGCTAGAATCGAGCCAAAATCCGCTCCAAAAAGGGTCCTGCTGTAGTGACGCACGACCCGCGACAGCTACAGACAGAGCCCCATTGAGATGCATTGGAGAGCGATATCGCGTGGTAAATAGCCGCCATATCGCGGGAATTACCGCACGATAAGTCGCTCAGTGTGAACGGGCCTAAGGAGAACTGTGGGGAAAAGCCTTAACCCCATAGTTCTCCTTAAGTATACCTGCATGTTTAAAGGAGAAGTATTAGGAGTAAATCATACTCTCCCCTCTGTTTAGCGCCATCATGGGACACTGCAGCTGACACATGTGGGCTCTAACCCCAAGAGCTGACTAATCATATGACCACTGATTGGTCATCTCTCGGTTTCTGCACCCAGTGGAGAGCAGTAGCTGACAGTCGCCACCCCCTGCAAGGATTCCTTCTCCCCTCTCTCCTCCTCCGGTGCTGGTTGGAGCTACAGACAGGGCAGGGGGTGGGCACAGCTGGTGCTGCCACTGTACCACACGCGGAGAGGCAGCTGTCAGGAAATCAGGACAATACCATCAGAATCCTTCTCGGCTGTGGCCTGTCAGCTGACTGTGGGTGGCAGAAGTACATTAACTAATTGCCGTCAAGCCACTGTGTATAAACAGCTGGACGGCAGCTACCTAAGTGCGGGTAGATGTTTAAAAACGGTCTTTCCTGCTCATGCATGCCCCCACCTGCGCGATGTTGGCATTGCCACTCTCACGCAGGAACTGTCCTCCATATCTGCCCTCGTATCACCTCCTTCTGGACTGCTATCTTTGATGTTTATGACCGCCTCTCTCTCACCAGATAACTGTTCTACAAAAGTTTCCCTTCTTTCCATTCTCCCAGGTACAATCTCCTCAGCTAAAACAAGTCTTTTACGTTTTTTCTAATGGTGGATAGGGCTGTTATTCCACATCATTGGAAGACACCTGTGCCCCCCTCTTTTCAGGAATGGCTTGAGGAGACGCAGTGCCAGCGACGTAAGGAGGAACTGCAGTCAACCTATATGACTGACATGCTCAGTTTTGTGATGTTTGGAATCCTTGGATATACCATGTTATTGGTATGCATCACATCAGCTGAGTAGGGGGCTGCCCATGCACCTCTCGTCCCACACCCCTGGAAGTGGTGACAGGGAATGTAAGGAAGAGTGGGGCACAGGTGCTGGTAGTGGTGTCTGGCCGGTTATTGAGGAGACTCTTGAGTGTGTTGGACCAGCTGATGAATCGGTTCTGTAGGAACCAGAGTGGGCTATGGGTGAGAGGCCAACGAAGCACTGGCTGGATGTAGCTGCTCAGGGTACTGATGGAGCGATCAACCAAGTGGCAGACCAGTAGAGAAGTCAGGTTCAAGCCCAGGTCATATACAGGAAGCCAAGGTCATACACAGGAAGCCGAATCTTAAAGTGCCGAATCACAGATCAGGATCAAGGTCAGGAATAATAAGCCAGGGTCATACATAGGAGATCAGAGAGCAGAGGTACCTAATCAGAAGGAGGAAGCGGAGTCAATGGTCACAAGCCGGGTTCATGCACAGGAAATCAGGATACTAGAACAGAGTACAGGGCACACAGGGACTAGCTGAAGACCACTCAGCAACTTGGTCATGGCTCCTTTTCAGTTTATATAGGATAGCGTGCACACTAACGAGTGCGCCGCCGTACACTCTATTGCGCATAAACGTTCCAATACGCGCGCATCCACGTGCTAAAGCGTATTTACCAGGAACTTTCAGCAACGGATTGCATGCTTGTGTGCGTGCACATTTTTGGCCAGGAATCAGTCTGCAGGTAAGTCTCTTGCAGTATGCAACTCTGTGACTCGATGTCCTCCTTTGATGGTAAATGTGCAGTATCAGCTCTCCTGAGTTATTGTTGCGAGAGTATGAGTTTTGCCCCTCTGATCGAGCGCCCCTGCTTTCCTATTGCCCCTTACCCCTGTGTTTTCTTTTGGCTCCCCTTCACTGTTTCTTCGTGTCTCTTTTTTTTCCCTTCTTCACTCTTCTCTTCTCATGGTCCTCTAGATCCAGGCTGCCACTCCATTACTGTGCTGTGCTGGCCGTGTCTTCTTGCGGGCGGGAGGCTGGAGCTGGCAGAACGATGTCTCCGTCGGCTTCTGAAGTTAAACTCCCAGGAGTGAGGCTTCTTCTCATTGGCCGGTGGGCGGAGCTCCGTCCAGAAGACTGAGCCGATGGTCCGCGCGACGATCGAGGAAACAGGTGAGTTGTCAGCCCTGTCACTGTCAAACGGAGAGTCTCAGTTTGACAGTGACAGGGCTGAGAGCTCACAACGCTACCTGGCTGACGTTCTAATAGGGCAAACTAGGCGGCCGCGAGGCCTTCGGGAGCGCGAGGCCTAAGGCGACTGCCTAATTTGCCTAATTAGAGAGCCGCCTCTGTCTAGATTTATTACATAAATCTGCTGCTTTTATTTTTTGACCATATATAGATCTTCTTTTGTTGTCTTCAGTTTTTTTGCTTAATGTCGACTGGTTTAGCGCTTATGGGAGGGAAGAGGGGTGGGGAGATGGAATTTTGTATCTTTAAAAAAAATAATGGTAGAGGAATCAATACCATTGAGAGGCTTATATTCTGCACAGATCAACAGCAGCTTGCCAGTGCACAGTACCTTCCAAATTTGGGAGGCACCTCAGCAGCTTAATATAACGCTAGAGTGAGTGGTCAGAATAGTTCCTAAATATGAAATCTGGGCCCTAGGCCCCTAACTCCCTCCACACGCCTCTTTATATTAACCTAATGCTGTGGTCAAATGAGTCCCTCTCCTCTCAGGATCCAGAAGAAGAGTGACATCGGCAAATAGGTAAGTATATGTTGCTTCGGAGCGTGGGGAGGTCTGGGGTGTCTCGCAGGGGAGGTCTGGGGTGTCTCGCAGGGGAGGTCTGGGGTGTCTCATCCGCAGGGGGATGCAGGGAAATCCCGCCAGGTTTTCCTCGGCATACCACATAGCTGCTCCACAGGGGATGGGGGTCCCGCCCGAGGATTCACCCTTTAATGCTGAGCCTACTCTCCCATAATTAATGGAGGTCATAGAGGACTGTAAAATGTCCCTAGCATCGCAGGTTAAAGGGGTACATATTGATTTCTCTCTGCTGAAACATGATGTACAGGGTCTGCGTGAGAGGGTCACTGAAACGGAGGGCAAATTTAATACATTGGAAGACTATCACTCCTCTTACTAGAAATAACGCTGGGCTGCAGAGGGAACTCGTGGCCTGTAGAACTAAGTTGGATGATCTGGAGAATCACTCCAGATCCAATGATCTATGCTTTGTTGGATTCCCTGGAAAATAGGAAGGTTCTCATCCTGAGTCATTTCTACAAGATTGGCTGCAAGTTTTTCCTGATCTTGTACCATCCTCCTCATCCTTCATAGAAAGTGCGCACCGCACTCCTCCTTCTGCACCCCCTCCTGTTTCATCACCTAGGCCCCATATTGCCAGGCTCCTTAACTTCGGAGATAAAGTGGTCCGGGACTCTCGTCTGGCTGGGGAGCTTTTCTATAGTGGAAATTGTATCTTTATCTTTCCTGATTTCTCCACCGAAGTACAAGGACAGATCTTCATTTCTAGAGATAAAAAAATGTCTCCGTCAGGAAGGCGTCTCCTATGGGTTACGGCAATTCAGAATTCT